ATAAGTAAGTAGCAAATAGATGTCGCGCTTTAATGCACGGAACTCCATTGAAAAAAAAAACAACTTTAGGCAGTATTTACGTAATGCACCATAACTGGAATTGCGCCGTTTCCCTTTGATTACTAAACTACAAAACAAGAAACCTTAATTAAATTTAACCTGTTTTTATTTCTTTTCTTTTACACAACATTTTTTTTACTTTTGTAAAACAAATTACATTTCTTTTTGACCAATATTTCTCATTCAAAAACTTTATAAATTTTACAGAAATGCGTCTTCAATTTCATATATTTATTGCGTATATGACCGACTTAGTAAGATTATTGAAATTTACAAAAAAAAATGTATTTCTTATTTTTTTTTTTCAAATTAAAATAAATTAATAATAATAATTGTATTTTTTTTGTACATGTAAAATTGAATAAATTTTAACTTAAAACAATCTACATTCAAATATTAGAAATGCGTATTAACATTTAGCAATTAAAACAACTTTCAAGAATTCCGCAGTGTCCACAGATTTCCTTAAGCACTAATGGATGCAATAATCGTTTATTCTGTAACTTTGTGAAGTTAAACGTATTCAAAATTGCTGGAAGTATATTCATCAAGAATGTGCAGTGTCTGAAATGTAGATTTCCTTTTTTTTTGTGCGATTTCGAAAAGAAATGGTTAAATTCTCAAAGAGAATTAATGCAAAAATGAATGGAAAGTTTTTTTTCTACGCGTTGAAGATCTGCATAACAATGACAGAAAGAAAATTTGCTCCTCGGCCGGTGCTTTGTTGTGCTTCGGGCTGTTTGTAAAATAAGAAGAACACTAAAATCGCCTCGGGTTCCTTTTGATGTGGTTATTCAAATGCAATAATTCAATCCGTCGACAATTTCTCGACGCTTTGGTTTACGTTGCTCGGATAGTACACAGGAAGAGATAAAGATGTCGCGCATTAATGCGAGGCATACTTTTTAAGAAGTTTCCAAGCGATATTTACATAATATATAGGAAAGTTTCGGTAGATACGTAGACATCGACTGGTGGAACTATGCACAGAATGTAGATAGCATTTATTAAATCCAAAAACGGGCGCCCCCGTTAGTCAAGTTGCCGGGAGGCGGTTGAGGGTGGTCGCGGGGGAGAAGGGTTTTTTGGTAAGGGATGCAAGGCTCGCGATGTTTTGGGGGCGGTGGGTGGTTTTTGGATGCGCCGGGGACTCGTTAATAAGTACACTGGAATTATGAAGAATTTGTTCGCATCGTTCTCGGGCGTTCTTTGCCGAGGTTTATGTCGAGCATGCTCATCATTTCCTACCGTAAATCTGCATTTATAAACAAATTACTCAGAATATGCAAGTGTACAGACAAAAGGTTGCAGACTCGCAACTTTATTAACCCGCCGTCAATGAATAACTCACATTTCATTGCAATTCCAATTGTATACATACTTACATCTGACATAGATTTAAGAATTCATTAAACTTTACTAATACTAATTATACATTTACTCAGATCCAGTATTTTCATTTTTCAACCTAAAATTAACATTTCAGGTTTAACCGGAAATACCTTAAAATTAAACATACATATCTGATTTCAACAAGTATTAAACATAAGTTTTGAAGTTTAAAAATCTTAATTTTAATTTTTCAACCTAAAATTAACATTTCAGGTTTAATCGGAAATACCTTAAAATTAAACATGCATGTCTGGTTTCAACAAGTATTAAACATAAGTTTTGAAGTTTAAAAATCATAATAATTATTATTGTTTTCTGGATAAAATTACGCAAAAGTATTGAAAATTGTTATAATAAAACAAATTTAAGACCTTCGTTTCTGCATATTTCTTTATTCAATTTCAAACGTTGTTGTACTTTCCGAAATTTATTGTAGTGAAGGTGTGAATAACAAATCAGTGTAGTCGCGATTCTGGCCGAAGATTATGGCCATAAAATTCCTGCACGACGGTTATAACTACGAAACCTGCAGAAGTATATAACTATAAATACAATATATGACTTTACGCAATTGAATTGATTTTTTTCATCAACCTTCAATATTAATATAAAAAAAGGTTACATAATTAACGTAACTTAACTATTCTTATATAATAAATTGCAAAATAGCGAAATCGTTCTTATGCAATTGTTTAAAAAAGTTATTGATTATATTAGATTGATTTAATATCAATTGAATCTATTATAATTGATTGATTATTGAATGTCTATAAAGTTTGAGGTTATGAAATAAAATAGTTAAAATGACGTAAAATGTGTATTCTTGTAGAATATTTAATGAAGTATAAAATTGATTGGAGGGATAAAGTTGAAGGGTGGAAATAATGTCGTTGGAGGATGATTTATTGTATGTTAAATGAGCGAAGTACCTGTGAAGCTGCCGAATGAATCTGTAAGTAGTGCGTGTCCGTTTTCATGACATCGGTCGCACAGAGTACACGACGAGGGTGGTTCGTGGATCCCATCCCTCCAACGAATCCGGAATGGGGGTGGCCGGAACGGCCTTCGCCTGGCCCCGGGCTAGCAATGTGCCATCATTCGCATGCCAGAACAAGGACTGGAAAATTTAATTTTGAATCGCATTATTTCTGCCGGTTACAAGACAATAAATCGATCCCCGTTCGTTTGTTTGCATACTGTTAGAAGTCTGCAAGAAGGATATCTATCTTTTGCTCTCGTGCACACAGAAATAGATACCGATGGAAGTAAAGGGTGTATAGTGTAAAGGGAGGAATCGGTACGTGCGTGCTCCGGATACTGCCCTAATGGTCCGGACGATCCGCACTCATGACCCGAGCCACTTAATGACCCGCTTCCGGGACACTCAACCATTCAATAATCCTCCGGCTAATTAACAACTCCGTGCACTTTCGATAGTAATTCCTAGCGCAATCCCATTGAAACAGCAACAGGTAAGATGCTGATCCTGTGGTCCGCTCCAGACCTGGCCACCCACCCCAAAACGGCAACGACATCCCTTTCCTTTCCACCACCCTATGCATTATTACTGCGTGAACAACTTACGAACTTGTTTTTATTTATTGCGCAACCAGCGCAGCCACCCTGTCTGTCCCTTCTTCAGGGGGTTAATGCATATATCTTTCTGCCCATCCTCATTCGGAAAATGCAACTCCCAAACATAGATTTATTACACCTATATTCGGATAACTATTTTATATGTGCGTCTCGAGACATGCGACCGCATAGTAACTCATCATCGTGAAGGGAGTCATTTGTATTTAGATCAGCGCCTGTGGGAACCTCCCACCCTGTAGCAAAAACGGCACCCTCCTCGGAATTTGAATGTTTCCGAATGGCAATTTGTAAGAATCTCTCTCTCATTCAGACCTATGCACCGACCCTCCTTCGCTTCACCAATATCCAGAAATCGCTGCAATAAATTTACAAGACAATTTGTGCCAATTTCAAACGCACCCAGGCTAAGATCCTTTTTTATACTCAAAGAAGGCATAATAACATAAAAAAAGCAATTCAATATTTTGTTTCAATATTAAAATTTCTGTCAGGAACGCAGCGAGTGTGACGTGAGTTATTGCACGGAAATGAACGTATAGATTGTACTCTCATCGAGTGGCTTCTAATAATAAATGAGCAAATGTTTAAGCATTGCTTGAGCTCGTTTCATTTCCGATCCACATAACCCACATGCCAAAGTAATTAGCTGCAATATACATGCAATTTAGAATATTTACTTCAAACATATTTGATTTAACATTAATTTGTGACTTGTTGCTGTTGGGTATTATTACAAATTGTAGACAAATTTAAATTATAATTAATATTATTATTAGAGTTTGTGTTACTTTGAAACATTCATTTATATTTCCGAGGTCGTAATTAAAATTAATGCGCTTTTCTATATAAAACCAACAGTAACAATTCCAAATACCTGTGCATTATTTCAAAACTTTCATTACATAATAATACATTTAATCCTTTAAATCTGATTTTTTTTTAAAGGATTAGAAATAATGTTTTGGGGACTTGATATATGTCTAAAATTAAAAAATAACCAGGTATATTGTTTGTATTTATTGTATGAGAATTATTTTTTATCCGGATTATATGCCAAAATATTTCGTATCTGGGATCTATTGTCCCAATATACATTCCAAACCTAATGTTGATGGGACATATTGTCCTACATGTTAATGCTTCTTTAAGTCTGAAGATGTATACAATTATAAAATAGGTGGAAAGACGTCCATTAAAGAAATACATCGTATTTTGTAATACAATAACTTATAAACTCATAACCATCTCGACTTACAATCATTTGCACAATTTTTAAATTTTTCGTTAAAAATATTCCAAATTATGGTGTATGACATTTACATATTTTCTGTATGAAATTCAACTTAAGGCTATATTGATTACGTTCATGGTGGAATAAATCGTAAGTCGAGTAGTGTTTAGAGCTAATCTGTATCAAAATACTAGAAATAAATTGGACTTACGGCAATGCTTCTGCATGATAGAAGAAAAAACTTGTGATAGGGAGAAATGAATAAAAATTGTGAATTAAGAAAAATAAATGTAGTATTATTCAAATGTGAGCAGAGACGTGTGCAGAGTATCCGGATTGGAATGTGGATAGTTTAAAATGGCGATTTGTAAGAATGCGCCTTTCGAAAGTTGTGTATGCGAGCATACGTTTCATCAATGTCCAGAGATCGGTGCAATAGATGTAGCGTAGAATTGGTGGCAAATGGGTCCTCTTCCAGCCCTGACAGCAACCAGATTGATGAGCACAGCAAGGATTCTAATTGTCTGCGTGTGTATCCGAATCGGAGGATCCTTGGAAAATTCGCACGGACCGCACGTATTCTTTGTGCAATCAAGCGTAATCGAATTATCGCTTACGCCCTTATATAATCAGAGAACTATGAGCTGGGGTGAAATGAAAATGGTGATGCAATCGATTAAAACAGTATACGTTATACTTTATTTAATATTAGATTGTAGTTTTCTCGTTACATACAGGGCGTCTCAAAAAAAGAAATAACAAACCACACACAACACTAGAATGTAGTACCGCCATAATTTATGAGCGCATTTAGTTGTACAAACTGTTAACAGAAGGTGGGAGAAACAAAGAAAATTAATGAAATCAAAAATAAATTGGGGTTTGCTTAATCTCTGACTAACTTATGGTACTCTAAAATAAGTGAAATACTAGTTGGTCCTAGGAGCTTCTAGTATTTAATGTGACATACGAAACTAAATCTTGTCTTAACAGATAGCCTTGGGAGCTCTTTGAAGATCAATACAATTATCTAATATTTGTAATTTTTTTTATTTTGTTTTAAACAAAACGTCTTCAGTGCTCTGGCGTTTTGCTCTTCAAAGAGCCAAGGCTATTTTATCACATTTATTCAATTTGATTTCATTCCCATTTACACCTAGCTTGAGCTTGTAAATATGCTTATAGATTAGATCGGGTATACATTTCTTTTTGAAAGACCTTGTATATATATAAATATTATACTGGATCACTTTCCTTAACATCTTATAATGTAACAATAAAAACACAGGTAAAAACAACATACTCTTCAGGGACTAAAGATTTAACGCAAACAGTAAAAAATGTTCGGCATGAAATTTGGAAATGAACGGGAGAGAATGCAAGAGAGAGAACATCTGACGTTGTGTATACGTTGGCTTTCTAATATAGCAACAAAGACTAAACATTGATCATGCTATGGAACATCTGCTAGTACAGTCCATGTGATACAGACACCCAGCGTTAGGTAGCGAAGCACGAGTAGATTTGGCACATAATACACCTCACTGTTCCGCGCACCACAACCCCAGAAAATGGACACCCATACGATTCCCATATCCCGGATCAGAGTCAAAGCACCAGAAGGAAGAGCAGAGGTGACAGCGAACAGAGTGGATTGGTGCTGTGCGGTCTGGCGGAGCTGGATTCCTGCACGTTCTCGACTCCTGGCCCGTTGGACTCGGTCAGAGGTCCTTGGAAACCGTTGTTGAACGATCCGTCGTTGTCCTGATTGCTTCCCGTTCCGTCCCCATCCACGTCTTCTGCAAGGACGGTGTCCTCGTCGGAATCGACGCGCTCCTGCATTTCCATCTCTGCAACGATAACAACACACATCCTTGTGCATTCGCATTGTCAAAACGATAAAGGCGAATTGCAATTGGCCCCGAAACAAATTGAATGTGTGGCCATCGCCGGGGCGAATATAAATCTGAAAACTATACGGCGGCTTTATCTCGAGGGGAGCTTTTGCGAAGTGATCTGACTGGAGGTCCTGACGGCAGGAGCAAAAGGAGCGCACACGGAAAAAAGGAGCATAAAAAAAATAAAACACATACATAAAGACATACATCCACCCGGCGAGGGGTGGAAGAAAAATAGAAGGGAGTGTATAAATTCGCGCGAGCAATAAAAGCGGAAAGAAGTTGAAAATCTACTGCTTGAAACTGTTAGCAGACATACATTGCCTAGTAAAGTAACTGAGTTCCGATACAATTGTAGTTGCGGCCGATTTCCCTAAAAAATCCAATTCCGTTTTACTGCGGCGCCAATTCTGAACAGAGTCTCATCAACATTTCATAGTTTTGGGACCGTATATCACGCGCGGGACACACACCCTTTGCTCCCATAGAGATCGCAATTCCAGACATTCCAGTTATATACTTTTTTTTAATAGCAATAATTATCACATAAATATGAAAGATACTTGTACCCATAGTAATTTCTTGTAAAGAAAATATTTTTTTAAACACTCCAAAAGTTGAATATCGAAAATTTCAAAAATTATGTTTTAAATTGGATGATATCAAAATTTTCTTTCCTCTATTTAATTATTGTTATTACTTGAAGTACTCACACAAAATTTTATTCGACTCTATCGAACCGTTCATCATTTTTTTTTATATTAATAATATTTGAAACATATTTATATTTTAACTCAAATAATAAATTCTACATCCTTAATATTTTTCTTTATTTTCAAAATGACTATTAATATCTGTTTTAGAAAATATAAAATATCGATTTTAATTTTTTGTGTATTATAACTTATTTTTTAAATACTTTCTTACCATATAATCTAATGTTGCCTTCGGCATCACCAATTGAATTCTTGGATATGCACTTGTATCCACCTAAATCCGACTTGTGGAACCTCCTGATGACCAGCTTCATTTGCACGCTGTAGTACGAGTTGTTTATCTCCGTCATTGCGTACTTGTCGTTCGAGATGATCATTTCACCTGCGAAATTCAAACCCGGTCTCAATTCAAACACTCCTACTCCGTGTCCTCCTGAGCAAACTCAACATCACACGAATTAATTAAAATGTTTTCAACAGATTACATTTCCAGCACAATTAACTACCTTTAACGCCTCGCACACAAACACGGCCACATACAATCCAAGCATACGCGCACACATCCAAACACACGTATACACATACACGCAAATAACAAACTCGCGGCTGAATAAATTTTGCTCTCATCAAAAGCGATTTTGACTCGATTTAATTTACACCAAGTGCCGTGGTCCATTATTCCACCAGTCTCCCTTTCTCACTTCTTCTCTCGCTTTGCGCTCGGAAAGAAAATTACATAAGGAAATCTATTCGCGGCTGCATTTAGATGCGACACATTTTAATTAAAATTTTATTTGCTTGCTGTTTCTTCAGTCTCCGTCTTGCCTTTAGTTCCTTCTTTTTTTTTCTTCTCTCACGCCACATTGTTATGATTCCTTAATTTTTTATGCCGGTCGACAAATAATTTCGTTAGCTTTTCTGAACGTTTTAATAAATTGCACATAATTTTCCTTAGTTCTTTATGAATACTTTCGAAATAGAAAAATTTGTCCTTATATAAATCTTACTCTCATTCTAATTATACGAAACCGTGTTAAATGAATACAACAAAAAAACGTGAATATTTCAAAACTATATATATTATATTTAATTAATTTTTAAATGGTAATTAATTAATTTGATTATATACAAATACTGATAGGGAAAAATTGAAATATTAATTTAAATCACAAAATTTGAATATTTCTATATAATAATCAATGCGAATGATATATTTATTTTTGTGCGGTATGAAAACAATGTTATGAAAAAATGTTTATTTAGTTAAATTATTAATAAATAAATATTTGAAAACAAAAACTTGGTTGAGTTAAATATTATTATAAATAAATTTGTTTTTGATATATATTTATATATAATACATTGATTTTGCAAATATAAAACGTCATGAAATTTTAAGAAATTAGTCTTTTTCTATTCGATTTTACTAATTAAGGACATTTTCATTAACATTTTTCTTCGATTTTTAACATTTTTATTATTATTTTTCTATATTAATAATTTTAGTCTTGGTGTGACAACTTTTTGATTATATTTTTTGTATATTACAAAGATCTGATAGTTATAGATAGTAGATTTAAAATATGATTGTTTGTAAATGTAAGGATTGACGTAATTTGTAAGACACCTTGTGTATATCTAAGTTCCGGAATCTGTGCAGCAAAGCAACAAAGTTTGTATTTTATTATTGTGTTATTACTAGAGCGAAGTTCGTAGTTTTGCACGAGATCCCATCGGTGGCCAAGTTCTATAAATGTCACCTTTGTGAACGTGCACGTCCATTCGGAGATCCGCAAAACAATAAAGCTCCAATTGTGATGCAAAGTATGAATGATGGATGCAAGAAGGTGTACGAACCACTTTCCCTGGTCCAGTAGTTGATGGCTTTGGGGGAGGCCTCGACGTGGCACTGGAGGGTGACGTCCGTGTTTATCGGCGCCCCCACGAGCTGGTTGGGCACCTGAATAAGAGGGTGAACTGAAACAGCAGAGAAGAGAGGACAGAAGTTATAAGAAGAACGGAACGCCAAGGAATTATGCCGTCGGAGATAGCGAAACGTCCTGAAGGATGCGCCGACTATTCACTGGCTCATAACGATTCTGATAAGAGCCCTTTTCATATTAACTGTAAACTCCAGTTAACCTCCACGCTTTTTATCGCGCGTATTGTTGCGGTGCATGCAGCCTACCCTTCTTTTCCTTCTGCCCCTTGCGACCGCTGAAATCAATGACCGACAGGATGTGGAAGTTGACGTGAAGGGGGTTGAAACAGAATAGAAGAAGGAAAAAGAAAGAAAAGACGGGATGGAAAAGAAAAGCGCACACATAGACGCGGCGCAAAATGCGAGTAAAGTTTTCTGGGAGTGCTGGGCATAATCGAAAAAGGGTTAGGGGTGTAATGCAAAGAGCGCCCCCGCTGGAATTGGTTCCGGGGAGCAATAAAAGTTTTAAGCGTTATCGAATAATTTAGTGTATTAGAGTCAAGGATGGGGGTTGGGTGCGGGTTTTCTGCCCGGAAAACTGATAACAACAAGTGCCCCGGAAATGATTGACTGGCTAACTCTTATTCGCTAAATAAGGGGGGAAATTGAAATTGTTTTAAAAGTTATTCGGGTATTTCAAGTATGCAACGCGCTACTACTTTGTCCCGGCCTGCTGCTGCTGCTACTCCTGCAGCCGCCGTCGTCGCTGAAGAAAATGGGGGGAAAACTCCCCACATCGAAAACGGTTCATTTGCTTTCCTTGCAATAATACGTCTACATGAATTATATAACACAACGAAAGAACTAACTTCAAATTACTTAAGCTTTCGGAAAATCAATTTTCTCTTCTCAGAAACACACATAATCATATCAATTATTGATAATAAACAGGTACATATTTTTGCAAATTAGAAAAATATTTATATTTTTCATTTTGTATTTTCAAAACTAAACTTGATCAATGATAATATTATTAAGTATTAAACTATTTGTATATGGATACTGTATCCATCATACAAAGTTGAAATTGATACAATGAATATAATGTAAGTGAAGCGAAGAAATGATGTCAGATTGGATAGATTTGTGGGATGGAAGGCAATGCGAGTGTGGTCATCGATGATGGCCTGGTCGTCCGGATCCGGACTAATTTCCTGGCTCGTAAATGCGTCGACACGCACGACGAGGTCACGGGATGTTAGATTAGTTGTTAACTTTCAGTCCCCCGGCCATTTAAAAGTTCGCCAAACTAAATGTTAGTGCATTGCGGATACACATTTAATGCTTCCAACGTTCTCTCGTTTCCACCCCCTAAGGTTTGATGCAAATGCCGACCGCGATTTGCCTTCTATAAATATCATGCTTGGTAAAATGTTAGCGAATCCCTTCAACAATTTCCGTTTCACAAGCGCATCGTATTTAACACGGGAATTACATAATTGAGTTCTGCACTGCTTTTGGATAACTAGTCATTCCCTTTGGTAGAATTGCCGGAATTTGTCGGTTTTATATTTTATACTACATGTTCGTATTGTCACACTTATGAATATAGTACAATGTTAAATACTACTTGTTGAATGCTAATTTCTACATTTTGTTTATGTACTGTTTTTATTTTTAGTTCTAATCCTACATATAATTTATTTTTTCAATTGTCATTCATAATAAACCTATCTCTCGTTTACATGATACTTTCTTTACACGTTTTCGCTTTTACACGGTTTAAAAACAAATGTTATTAAATTAAATTTTTAAAATTGAAATTGAAATTGAAAAATATTTACTTTCCTATTCTCTTACATAATAACTATTAACAAATTTATATACAATTCCTAAATTTATATATAAATCATAAATTTCTAAACTAATATTTCTTGAAGAAAAGTAAATTATGACTTGAACATTTGAATTGAAATCATTAGATTTTTCATATGTTTTCCGGAGTTGGATTCAAAAGGATTAAATACGTTTTATTACATTACGTTTAATAGCAAATTTATGCACTCAGCAGGACAAATGCAGCATATTTCAAAGTTTTTAATTATGTCAAACTTTTACATCATTTTTTTTATAAACTTTTAAACAAAAACTTTTTATACCTAAAAATATTTTATAATCAATTTTGTAATTGAATTTATGTTTAACATCTCATTAATACATCTATAAAAAATATTTTTTTTTATATTAACTCACAATTATTTATTAATTAGCAATTTTCTACTAACTATACAGATTTTGTTTTATGGGTATTATATGACAAACCGACAAAAATTGATCACTTATGAAATATTTTTAATTATGAAGTAAATAGTCAATTATTTAATTAATTTATTGTGAATATTTAAAATTTTCATAGAATTAATTAAGAAAGATGTAATAATATTTAGCTTATGATGATATTTTGTAATTATGGAATGTTGTGTCCGGAAGATGTAGAGATACTTGATATCATTAATATTCTATTGGAGAAAAATGATGTAGATGCATAGTGTGAAATGTTGCGAAGTGGACTGTTTAATACGAGCACCAGCGGATCGAATGTTGTTCGGTCCGAGGCAGGAGATGAATGTAATAGCCTATACTTTCTGATGCAAATGCAGCGCAAGTAAAATCCATTAATAAATGTTAAATATTGCAGAAAGTTTATTAGCGAAACGGAAACGCCCCGCACGAGCATTTATTTAATGCAATACATAAATTACTGGGCTGAGTCGTCGCGACGGCCGCACCGCGTCCGCATTTACGTAACCCACCCGTCCTTTCCCTCCTCCAGTTTTCATCCCCTGAACTGACAACGCTTAGCATACATGTCGAGGGAAATGATTGAAGTCGCGTTGTATTTATGGTTATGTTTATAATCAGGCAGCATTGTCTACTTAGTGCGCGTCCATTACCTCACGCCATTGTGCCGTTGCACACCATCCTGGATATGGCCCGGACGCCGGGATTCTGGATGCTGGATGCTAGATGCCGCCGCATCCATATTCATACGGGCTTTTAAAACAATTGTTCATCCTCGCGTTCTCGTGCTGCTGCTGCTGTTGTTGTTTTATTTTTACTTTTATTTCAGTGCTCTCTTTTCTTTTTTCGCTGTTTCGTTTTGTTTTGTTTGATTATTTTTTATATCTCCCTGCGTTTTTTATTCCTACTGGCGAGAGGTCAGTGGCGTAGGCAGCCAAGGATAGATTTCATATGCATCCCACAACATTTGCCGATCACTTTTCACTATTCGTATTCATATTTGAATATTTTATTTACTGAAAAACAAGTGGACACAGCTATCCATGCTGATACTTTCAATATTGAAAAATACTACAAATTACTTCAACATTCTACACAATCAAACAATGATTGAATTAGTTTTTTTTACATTAATATTCAAAATAATTGACAGTCTTTTATACTTAAAATTTTTATTGTCTAATATATTGTATCAGAATTATTATTTAGTATAGTGATTTTTTTGATGTGAGAATTTAATTCAAATTGGATTATTTCTAATTCTAAAGCTCTTTTTTGAATACCTAAAGTATAGATTTAGAAATATATCCTTAAATATCAAATATTGGCAAAATTCCTAAGATTGACATAAAAAGCTAGTACAGACTCATTTAGGACTTATTTTAAGCAAGGCAAAGGACTATCCTAGGATTTTCGTTGTATAATATATAAACCAATCACCAGGACGAATAGAAATAGATGCTAATGCAGATGACACATTTATTATTTACATCTGACGCAGCATTACGAAACCAATTCGAAAGCTCTGATCAACACAAATTGCACGGATTGTAGGAATAGAACCTGTTATCGATCAATGTGGTTTTATACAGCATATGATATTCGAAAAGAGGGATTTGGAAATAATACTAAGATTAAAAGCTAAAAAAAATGTAAAATATTTAAATAGAATGTCGTGTGTTTCTGTAATAGTGATTCATTGTTGAGTAAGCCACTGAGCAATGTTCCTTCTAGTCTATGGTCCCGAAAATACGAACACAAAAACGCTAGAATATGTGTGGTGTGTATATCATTTTCAATTTGACACGGAAATGCATTTCGCCGACGCCGGAAACGGCAGGCAGAAAGCGTGGGGGCGGTATAACTTACAATGCACGTGGAGCATCAGCCTCTTGCTGACGGATGGCGGAACGCCGTTGGCGGCGATGCAGAGGTACGCTCCCATCTCGGAACGCGTGACCTTGGTGAGGGATAGTACCTCCGCTTCGACGGAGAGGAGCCTCTCCGGTCGTCCGGACTGTCCACCCCTGGACACGATCGTCGCCCCGTCCTCCCTGCGCCAGACGATCTTTGGCTTGGGATGTCCCCGGGCCTTACAGATTAATTTCGCGGACCCGCCTTCTGGCACCATCATGTCCCCAGATGTTTCCTCGTATATTATGTCCGGCGATATGACAACCTCCAGGAACGCGGTCTGGAAAGCAACGATTAAAGACGTAATTAGATTTGTGGACGTGTCCATGGTATCCGGTGTGAACATTGCACGACGAAACATCGACATAATAAACATTTTAAACGTGACCAATAATTAACAAATAACATAGTTACATCATTCTAATAGATTTTACAAAAATATACAAATTATGAAAAAAAATGGTATAGCGTTATGACTATAATATACATGATCTAAATTGATATCTATAAGGTTGTTATAAGTTACATTATGTAATTGCATCATTTACGTACACTTAAAGTTAATAGTGTGGATACAACTTTATAATATTTTTTTTGACATTTGATTAATTTGAAAGTTTTAACATAAAGCTTTGTTCTTCGATATTTCTAAATTTATATATTTTTTAAACTTTCGTTAAAATTAAATAAAAAAAACATAATATTTCATAATAATACTACAAAACTCTAGTCATACCTTGTCTAATAACTAAAATTGAACGGCTTTTCATCACAATTATTGATATTATTAAATTTAAAAAGAAAATCGTTAGAAAACTTCTATAAAATTATATATTCTATATTTTTTATTAAGTTTTATATTAGCAAATGTTTATTATAAAAAGTGCACGTTTTCAGTAACTGTAACAATATATAATTTTTTTACTAAATAAACCAACCTGCATTTTCATTGGATCTGTGTTGACCTGACACATATATTGTCCCCTATCTTCTCGTCGGACACTCCTGATGTTCAAGGTCCATGTATTGTAGTCATTGTGGGTCACCGAAAGCCTAGCGTTGTTGGTGATCACATGCTCGTGGATGGCCAGAATTGCTTTGGTATCGGCTTTGATCCATGCCACCTACCACAGAATACGCCAAAAAAACACATCAAAGTTTTTGCACGAAACATCTGGAAACCGCTGCTTTTTGGACACACTTGATTTGCATTGATCTTCACCGCACAAATCTACTCACCGCCATCGATAACAAAATTATCCTTTTAAATCATTAACAAAAAGTATTTACAATAATAATACCAGTACATAATTAATAATGGTCAATTACTTCAAAATATTCATAAATTTGTAAATTACAATTATAATTTTTAGTTTATGGTAAATGTAAATAAATAAATAAAATTTATAGAAATCTTCAATATTTTGTTGTTATTAGCTTTTTTTTAAATTTAAAATTGCAAAATAATCAAAATATTTCGTACGATTTGCTGAGTTATATAACAAACTACAATTACTCGACGGCAACGTTATATAACGCCTAAGGTAATTATCGTCTCAGTGTGCAGCCGGGAGAATCACGAAGCGGAGGTGAAAATGTAAATCGTGGAGTGACAAGCTTCATTCCCCGAAAATTGTAAGTCTAATGATAATCGTCTTACATCTTCTTCTTTTTTTTTGAAGCACTTTTAATCCTCTTCATAATGTTTGGCGTCGGATTAATATCGAACTTCAATAAAATAAAAATAGGTGAAGCATACCGGATTTCTCTCCGTACTGTTAGAAATCGAATGAAAATAAAATAGAGCCAATAATGCATTCACTTCAATTAAGTCTACCTCTCGTGTTCGCGTGGGTGAAATGAATATCATATATCAAATGCTGTTAGTATATATTTTTTATTATTTATAAAAACATTTACAGTCGAACGAAACTCAAATATTGTTTTTTTTTTTCAATGTTTTTTTTTTAATTTAGTTTTTGCATTTATTTTATAATGTAAGCTTAATTTAGAGTTAATTAAAAACATATTTATTTTTATTAATTAAAAAATACTAAGATTTTGTTTAAATTTATGAGTTTACATATAAACCAATAACTATTTATAATTAGTAATATAAAAGGTAATAAATATTTGATATTAATGAAGTTCAAGTTTTGACCAGAATTAAATTTAATACTGTTGTAATAAAATAATACAAGTAATAGAAATAAAGAAAATAAGTTTTGCTATTCAGGATCTGCTTTAGGTGATGCAGTTATTCACGTGGGGTTGGCAAATTGAGAGAACCTGGAGAAAGGCAGGTTCGTGAGTGGATTTAAGTGAACGCGAACAGGAATGACCGATACTAAAGCAGTTCGTGGATAGAGTGGTTCATAAATGGTGTCTATAAATCAATGTTAAAGTGATCATTAAGTGCAAATCTACGGTGCAATCAAAATGAAAATGTACGTGTGGTGCCATCTAATGTCGTGTCGCGTTGCATGCAACCATTTCCGATACTTAAACTCAACGATGGTTTCCATCTTCACCAAACCATCCCCCTCACACCCACAACCCTTAACAACCATTCACGAATAATTATAAACATATTCCATTTGTACGCTTCGCTACGATATTTCAATTAACCCGTTTCAAAGTTTATAATTAGTAGTTAGTTACCTTCCGGTTTGCCTAAAATATATGTATCTTAAATTAGATGATTATCAACATCGCATGACCTAATTGTGTTCAACGGATTGTATAAACCGAGAAACAAGATACGTTGCACGTTGTTATATAATTGAATAATAACGTTTCGGTAATGAAAAGTTTTATAGAAAATGTTTGAATATCAAATCAAATTTTACCTTTCATAAAGATTTAAAGTAAATTATATGATCATCAAACACGATTTTCATAATTTCCCATTCGAATTAAACGAACGATGAAGAAAGCACTTCATTTTTCTTTTTTTCGTGCCAGGAAAACAATCCCATTGATTACATATTCTGCCGGAGCTCTAATCCGCAGCCGGAAACGCCGCGAATTTTCCACCCACTAATTGAAATTATTTAATACGTGAAGCAACAGGTATTTTATTACGTCAACGTTTGCTCAGCTTGGACCGATTATCACGCTACACGCCGGGGACATCTGCTAAAATGAACCTACAGATTACTTATTTGTTACTACTGTCCGTTCAACTAAAGTCTATTAGTTCAGTAGCTAATAAAAATAGATAGAATTTTATAATTATTAGAAATACAGATTTAATAGCAGATTTAACCCTAAGTGGACGGACATTGAGACTACTGTCGCTTCTAACTAAGATTAGAAGATCGTAAAATTTTTCTTGCCAACTTCTAAATTTTATAATTGATACTCCTTCTCCTAAATTGTTGAGAAACGCTGCTATAGTCTATTAGATGAAGAGAAATTGAAATTATAGTTTTAAAAATATTATATTCTAAATTGTAAAATATTTTTATAATGTACTAGTGTCATGTCCAATCATATAATTGCTTATCAACACACATCCATGTATACGTAATGGTATACGGAAGTGGTAAGAATGTTAAGATATCTGTAACAATAATTATGGGTGACATGTCAGGTGCATCGCGCGGTTATATACCTGGCGTTGCGACGCTGTCCCGCTATAAGCGAATGAATGGGCCGACGTAATCCGCGCGTCATCTATTGTGTTACATAATAAAGGGCAGAGTTGCATATTTTAGTGGCCGTTGAAACAGAAGGATTAGGCGGAGTGAACGGCGCGTCGGGTAAACAATGGCCGGCATAATGCCTCGTACAAATGTCGGTATTAATTCGAGGGCGAAGGGTCACCTCCTGCAGGACACTTGGCGTTGCGTGCTTTCTCTGATCTGATTTAATCCGCCCTATTGTTCAAGTAGACGAGACCGATACCAAAACCGAAGCCACACATTAACGGGATTGTTTTGAGTGCGGGGTCCTTTGTGTACCGGTTGTGGCTCGAGTATCCGACTCGTAACTCTGCTACTACGGCACATACATGCATACACTCACGTACCGAACCACGTGTGTAAATGTGAAAGAGAACATGCATACATTTATATACAACCCCTCGCATTTGTTCCCTCGCTTCGAATGAATGCCGAAGGCCGCCGGGCTCCGCGTTGGAGGACAACTTCTAGGGTTTTGTAGTCCACTTACAACCGGAAATCATCTGGAGGTGTAAGGTACGTGAAATGCTTTAGCCTAGATGAGAGTATTACTGCACGCACTCGAAACTGATGCTGCAAACAGCAAATATCTAGTGACTGTTCATATATACAATATATCTAAATCCAAATTCATTCTTAATAAATATTTGCTTGCACGCATCTATTTGGATAAGCTTTTAATACGTTTTACATCTGTTTTCCTTTCCTATCGTCGAAGAGGACGAAGAACATTTCATGGAGCGCATATACCATTTCCACACGTAATATGTATGTGAGATTACATGCATACATTCAACGGCCCGACTAGCATTTGGCTTCGAATGAATGCAGTGCTCCGGCAGTCTCGCATGTGGAGGAAACGTCTAGGGTTCGTGGTCTGCTCTGTCGAACCGTGTTATAAGATACGAGAAGCAAATAGCAGCGATATGCGATATATCCCGATATGTATATACTATATACATATATACATCACTGTACCTGTATATATATATATACATATCCCTGTGAGTATTATACAAGACGGTAGTAGAGCGCCTAGGTTCAACCTCAGCTTTGAAGGATTTATTTTATAGAAGGCAAAAATCTCTCTGATCCGCGGAACCTTTTGATCGGATCAACGTATATGTACACACACACAAATATGTGTGTGTATACCTGGTCGAGTGGACTACTCGCGAACAATATCGAATCATGCCACATTTCCCTCAATGAAAGTTGTAAAGTTATCCACAAAGAGCGAAAAATCCACCATGCATACTTCTACATTGCATTTGCCATGCCGAATTCACACTTTTACTATGGGAATAAACAACAATAAGAGAAGTCATTGCTTTCAAAATATACTCTGTGATATACAACCAACAGTATTTTATGTAAATTCAACATATTTTTTAATACATACATATTTTTCATATATTTATCTTAAATTAATCCATTGTTTATTAGTTTTAATTTTAATTTCAACAACTAAAATACATTTTTATTACTTTTAAATTTTTGTACTTTTAACTATATTTTACTGAAGGAAGTGCAGCAACAATATTTGAAGTATATTTTCTAATCCTTCCATATTTTCTACACATTCATCTCCAGATTAAAAAAAAAACTTCTTAAATTTATTCATCTTCAAAATTTAATAAAATATAGTGGTTAGTAATGAATAGAAATGTCAAAAACAAATTATTTTTTAATTATGAACTCATCGCAATTGGATATTAACTATGCTTATATAATTGAAGAAATTAAATGTTTTTGATATCAGTTCTTCTAAAAACATTCTAATTTATCCTTTGATGAAATATGTTTGCTTTAATTTATGATGTTCCAAGAAGAAATTAAAAGGATATTTAACTATAATTGGTATTAAAGGAATTAAATATTTTTGACAAAACTCAAATTTTTCAATGATCTTTAGATGTAATATTTTTGATTAAATTTTGTTGAAAGCGTAACAAGTTTTATATAAACTAAATATAAAAAAAATATTTTCTTTTTATAAACTTCTCAGTCAATTATAATAATTCAATAGCAAGGGTAGTTTTGAAACAAGCTGTGGATTGTTTAGAATCCCCGGAGTTTTTGCAATTACAATAATGCACATTTCCGATTGCGAAACAATGGCAACAGATCAATGGAGATTACCGGGGAACCGTCAATTAGGCAATTACAAAATCTTTGATGTTGTCGGCTTTGCGGAACGTGGCCGTGAGGTAGTCGAATCCATGCGGATGTGCAAATCCTGCGGTGCATTCATCCATTCCATACATTTATGGATAACTTCGCTCGAAGCTTTGGAAAATTTTTCAGAACGCGAATAAATAGTGTTGTCGTTTGTGGGCACGTGCTATCAGCAGACACGGACCGGTATAAATCTCGATCCATTAACATAAAAGCACCGGACTATTTATGCCGAAACGCGCGGATCCGAATACAATATGAATGATGATATTTAACAACTGATATGAAACACATTTATTTACCATGAATATTTTATGCGGCCATTCTAATTTTGACAATGAAATAAAACGTGTTCATGACGTTCGCACATGCACGACGCACGCGAATTTCAATGTGTCACAGTTTAATAAAATAATCGGCAAAACGGAAAGCGATGCTGACGTTTCGATTTCGAAGGCTGCGCTTGGTTTGGTTGTGGTGGAGATGGAACCTTCAGTGCAGATTCCAATGAGTGTTTCCTTCTCTTTATTAATGTTTTTTTTTATATCTATATATTTATATATGGAAAGATGCAGTGCTCGGGTGCAGAGGTGCGCTATATACCTGTAGGCATGGCTTTGAGCCAAGCCTAGTGCCTGTGCCTGTGCAAATGTGCCTGACGTGCACTGGTGCACATTCAGAGAATTAAGAATGATACACACCCTGGCCGTGGCGGAGTCCCCACTCACCCTGTATCCACCCAGGTTGTTCACGATGCACGTGAAAGTGGCATCTCGTCCTTGGGCTACGGTCACGTTCTCCAGAGGGTGCAGGAAGTCCGGCTCGAAACCGGACACCGACACTGCAAACACACAAAACACACGACATCTGTTTACAAGCTGAACTACAATATGTATTAAGAGGACCAATAAAAACATCCGTTTCCAACGAAATAAAGCAAAGACAAAAAAACAATTTCGCTGTCACATCTTAGCCAATTCGTTACAGCATCAACAAACATGTTTACAAATTACATTACTATAAAATGGTAGTAATATTAGTAATAATTGCTTAATTTATAGTTAATGCTTTAATTCTATATTTCTATATTTTATTGAAAGAAGTACAGCAACAACATTTGATGCATTTGTTTTGATCCTTCCATATGTTCTAGACATTCAACTTTAGATTAAAAAATATACTGTATGCTTCTTAAATTTGTGTATTTTTAATTATATATTATATTTTCTAATCCTTCCATATACATCATCAGATTAAAAAAAAACTTCTTAAATTTGTGTACTTTTAACCAAATTTTACTGAAAGAAGTACAACAACAAATATTTGAAGTATATTTTTTAATTCATTTATATAAATGAAAATATTACAGCTTAAAGTAGAAATTAGAAACATTAATTTAAAATTATACGTGTTGTTGTCTTTTATGTATTTCAAATAATTTCATTTAATTGACTGTACAAAAAATAGTTATACTGTTCATGTAATTGATGCAATAAGTTTCAAACGAAAACATTATTTATAATTTTTTTACATGTTCATTCGCTCATGTTTTCCTCGGGCTCCAGTAGAATTCCCAGCAATTCGATATAATGGACAAACAAATAAATATATAATGAACTCACCGCAATCGTTGCTATTTTAGTACAAAAATAAATAGAATCAATTTTAATCACTCTACTATTTTTTTATTCTAAACCAGTGGCGGATTAAGCACTTGAGAGGTCTCACACAAAAAACTTTTGTTTCATAAAAAGTTACGTAATTTTCAAATAATTAAGAAAACAACGTGAAAACTCGTTGAATCTCAGCTATAGCACGAAGATGCCATTAGAAAGGTGAGATATTCGGCTTTCAGCTGAGTTGTCGATGATGTAATTATCTTAAAGGGTTGTCGAGAAATTCACGAAAGACTGAAAAAAAAATCGGAAAAAACGTCGATTCTCTGATACGTAACAAACATTACGAAACTTTTGTTTCATAGAAAGTTGCGTAAGTGTGGTGCCCATCTTATGTAATCAAAAATGAAAAGCAACAAAAGTTTCTTGGTTCTCGAGTTATTACAGAAAATCCTTTTTTTACAATTTCTACAGCTCTTAGCAGGCGATTTCGCTCTTAGCAGCACGAAGATGCCAATAGGCTTGTTGATGCCTACCTCAATGGGTTGTCGAGAAATTCAAGAAAAACTGAAAAAAATCGTCTAATCCCTGTTACGTAACAAACGTTACGTAACTTTTGTTTCATAAAATGTTGTGTAAGGATGGCGCCCATCTTACACAATCATGAAATGCAACAAAAGTTATGTAATTTTCGAGTAATTAAGAAAAAACGTGAAAACTCATCGGATCTAAGCATACGCTTCTTTTGGATCAATTTTAACTATTACAGTTTTTGAAAAAATCACTGAAATGTGAGGACAATGCTTTTTGATGTAACAACTACTTGTAAAAGTCATGCTATTTATCTTATAATGATTTTTCAATTAATTTTTTTTTATTTCGGAAACAATATAAATGTTATTTTAGTTTAATTCAAGCATTTTATATGAAAGGTGTATGGCAAAAAAAAAACGCGGATATGACGTTGAATAAATTAGTTCAATTTATGTTGGTATGAAAAGAGAATGGATATGCCTATGTTGATGCGACGGATGAATTGAATTGAATGTAACCATTTTCAATTTGCAGATAGGGCAGTGTTATGCTAATGAGAAAAATATCAAACAAACAGGAGCGGAAGTCGGAGGGAACAAATACAGGGTGAAACAAAAACAAAACGACAACAACAAAAAAAATAATAAAATAGGGAACACGGGAACAGGGAGCAGACAGAAGTAGTGACCGATGGTGGTGGTGGTGGTGAACAAGTGGACCGAAATGGTTGTTGATTTATATGGATGCATGGGAACGGGATGGCCGCAGTGCGGGGTTATGTAACCCGATATATATCATTTTGTGTGGATGCAAAAGGTGAGACCGGATCAACTCTGCCAGCTTGTCGGCCTAATTAACGGTGAGGACAGATCCAATCGCGGATCGCGGATCGTCCGACCCATTACATAAGCACTCCAGTTAGGATCGGGTCGGTTCAGAACAGGCGCGCGCGGTCCAAAACGTGAAGTATGAAGTTCCACGGCAAACAGAATATTTGTCATACTGTTTGCATTCGTGTCACGACTGAATTATCGCTTTTTTATGTTGCGGAAAATCGGGAAATTGTGAAAATGTAAACGGCGAATGTCGGATGGCGACAACAACAACAACAGCGGCGTCGGCTCACACCAACTTGCGCTTGTAACATACACATGCCTGTGCCTATCCACACATGCCCAAACACACATAAATGTACACAAACACACGTACATATACACAGACACATCAAACTCACAGGAATTACAAGTTGATTCACGCTTTTATCCCTTCGCCGTAAGGTAATTGTGTTAGCGAAACGCGCCACTACTCTCCTATATCCTCCTGTCAGGACACTCACGGGCTCTTCCAACAACAGCCACCACATTCCATTTTTCTATTACCGAAAGTATAAGTAAACACTGGGTGTAGTGTGTGTGCGGGCCGGGTTAACAATGCAAACAGTTACATCGAATGCTTCATTCCTCCGGATGCGGATGCTCACCGTTCCGTTCCGTTTTCCCAATGTTTTTATGGCTAATTAAATGTAAAGCTCCTTCCAATACGATCGATGGAGTTGTTCTCCTAATCCCCGCCTCCCGCCAACCCTTGCAGACCGGAAAACCGGAGACCACTCTCTTCTCCCCGTCTAACCATTCCGGGTTTTTCATTTATTTACTAAACATCGCGACAAAGAAAATATTTTTCCGTCGCCGGCGACGAAAATGAAATTGTATACGTTTCGTCATCCACCGTATACAGCCAATGCTCGAAAACCGAAATATTAGGCAAACACACTTCGTTCCACTTCTTGCCACTTACCGAAGCCAATTCTACCCATTGCATACTTTTTTTCTTCTCTTGGCACGTTCATTGCTAAGCAACTGCACGATACTCATCAATCGATGTTGAAATCATGCATATATTACGTTTAAAGTTTAAGCTTGATCAAAATTGTTAGATGAGATTGGATTAGGTCTTATCATTTATGTGACAACCAAATAGTTTATTTTAATAATATTATATAGTTAACATAACAAACACAATAAGTGAAATGCCATAAGACTTTCTTTTATTTTAATTAACATTAAAGCGTGTGTATTGCATTCAATTTTTCAATATTTAGGTTTTGCTTTAAAATAATAATATTCTTAAAGTTGTGTAAGTTTAATTTGAAAAGTTAAATTTGATGAAGGAAGGTGTCTATAGGAAGATGAAGATAGTGCGGTAAGGTAATGACGTAAGATAATTGTGGTGATCTTGATGCCTGAGGCTTTGGTTCTGGCGGTGTACAAGGATGACTGTGGTGCGGTGTCGGTGGTCTTGACACCAGAAGGGTTGCGGTATACCGGCTGCATCATCTGCACGAGTGAGTGCGTCAGGAGCAGGATTCGGTGTGCGGTGGAGGCAGCGGTGGCGGCGGCAGGAGCGACGTCGTCGTCGTCGGCGGCGTCCGCATTCGGTTCGACGGCGAAGGAAGGAGGAGTCGCGCGCGGTGTGCATGTAAGATATCATCCCCTTCAGCAGAAAACCTTACATAATAGGTGTATAATCGGAGGCCGATCGCTGGATCTCTGCTCCGAGAGGGAGCGTGCACGTGACACTTCATTACGCATCTTTGCCCCCGCGGAAACGTGCCCGTCCCGCGGGATCCTTGGAAATCTCTACGGGCCGTTCCAGTTGCCTTCTCCCCGTTCCATCCATCGTTCGACGAAGGAAAGGGAAGCCGAAGGCAAAGCCCTTCCTTTCCGCTCTCACCCTTAACGTAAACCGTGGATGCTCTTCCAGGTGACGAGATTATTTCCGGCAACATGCACCTAACCTAAACCTAGCTGCTGCACGTCGAAGGAAGGAAGGAAGGTGGTTGGGCGTGCGAAGAGAGAGAGAAACTGGCATCAATATTATAATTTGTCGCTGGTTTTGGAGGGTGGATGGAAGCCGGTCTCGGGACTCGGGCATGCAGAAGAAAAACTTAGACACGAAAACTTTTGCCCGCCCGGCATAGCTCGAGCCCCGGCGTCTTACCAGCACGTTGCCTAAGAGGAAAAGTTTTGTTTAATTTTGTTTGGTTTGACGTTAAGCTTGCCTCCTGTCACTTTCATCCCGTCTTCTTCTACGGTGGCGGCGGTGGCGGTCGCTGCAGAGGAGGCGGTGTCGGCGTCCGCCCTTGTCTCTTGTTAAGCACCCGTGTTGTTCTGAACAATATTTGTTTTAGTCGCATTTGGAAGTTGTGCATAGTTCTGCTATACGCTTAGCATATTGGAAAGCTCGCGGCTCGACGGATTGGCGCTGGCCACAGCTCTCGGATTTCCGACGATCGCCGCCGTCATTTCCAACCTATATCTATAGCTATATGGATGGGATGTCCATATATATGTATGTATGTGTGTGCTCGTGTCCGTATGTATGATTCAGGACGATCCAGGATCAGCCAGGACATTGTCGGCCAGGCCGGCAGGAAAGGGTGATAAACGCACGCGACGCATGGCCCAGCGCTTCGCTTTATTGCCGACGTGACTCGTGCTTTTTCAATTTCGAACCGTGGGAATGATTGGCGCTCGGGGTGTGATTGCCATGATGACGTATCGACTCGGACAGCCCGCACTTGATCAACCTTCCAGAACTCCCCAAATCGAACAATTCAACCCCCTTTAACAAAAATCTTCCATGCTGAGATTTAGAGAAACTGAAGTCAACCTTAAAAAAATATAGAATA